ACCAGTAACAAAGGATGGTGAGGCTGTAGGAATAAAGGAATCCTCCTTCACTATTGCTGGGAGTGTAAATTGCTACAACCAACATGGACATCAGTATGGAGATTCCCAAAAAACTGAAGCTAGAGATTACCTTTGATCCCATTATTCCTATTCTTGGTTTCTTCCTAAAAGAGTTAAAGCATCACACCACAGCAGTGGAGTTTGTAATAGCTAAATCTAGGAAACAGTCCAGAAGCCCATCATCAGCTGAATGGATAAAGGAAATGTGGTTTTCATATACAATGAAGTACTACCCCGCCATAAAGAAGGGTAAACTTCATATGTTTTTAGAAAATGGGTGCACCTTTACACCATAATTTTAAGTGAAATAAATCAGACACACATGTTTAAATATTACATTGCTTCTTTTGTGTGAGAAATTGAATGTACAAATAAGGACCAAAATGGAGAATAGTTATTTAAGGGGCTGGGGATTTAGCTCAGAGGTACAGCGCCTGCCTGGCAAGTGCAAGGTCTTGAGTTTGATTCCCAGTACAGGGGGAAAAAAAAAAGAGAGAGAGAATAGTTATTTAGAAGTAGGAAGAAAATGTTCAAATGGGAAGAAAAGGATCAAAAAAGGAGGAGAGAAAGAAAAGGAACAGAAAAGGTAAGAAAAGAGAATAGAAGGTGAAAAACCGGAAACAAACCTTTTATAAATAAGGAAAGGAAGAAAAGTTAAAGGGAGAGGAGGGGAATAGAAAAAAATAAGAAGAATCAAGATATATTATATATAGGTACAAATTCCCTACAATGAATTTGATCATTGTGTATATCAAACATGTAGCAATAAAATTACTTTTTAAAATGTAAACAACAAAAATGGTCAAGAAATAACAAATATTGGCGAAGATGTGGAGAAATTATGTTTCTCTGTATTGCTGGTAAACTAAACAGTGCAGCCACTGTGAAAAACAGTACGGAAGTTTCTCAAAAAGTTAAAAATAGAATTAGTACATGATTCAACAATTCGACTTTGAGTATAAACCCAAATAACTAAAAACCAAGACTTAAATAGATATCTGTACATTAATGTTTATATCCTCATTATTCATAACAGCCAAAGAAACTTACAGAGTTTATTTAAAAGAAGGGAGAGGGAGAGGTGCACGTTAATGATTTTAGTAACAGAGTCACAAAATTGCAGAGACTCACAAATGCAAAATGTGCAGAGTAGACCAGAAGGCTGGAAGCCCAGGGAAGACAAGATGTATAGTCTCACCTCCAAAGGTAGTTCTAAGGCACAGTTATCTCCTCTGTAACAGAGTCTTTTTCTGAGGAGACTTTCAAATGTTTGGTTGAGACTCTTTCACATTATAAAGAGCAGAGTCAATCTACTTATTTAAATGTAAATCTTATCTAACAAATATCTTCACAAAAACATTTAGAATAACGTTTTGCCAAATATCTAGGCACCGTGCACTCATCAGATTGGCACATAAAGCTAACCACCACAGAGGGAAACCATAAAAATCCATCCACTAATGGAGGTATAGAGTTACAAAAGGCGCTATACATATAAAATTAATTATTGTTCAGCTAAGTATAGCCTCTTCAGTTTGTAAAAATGAAAAGTTCAGGGCATAGATGATTGTAACCACGGCAAAACAAAGTGACTGTATTTAATGCCATTCAACTGTCCTCTTAAAAATATATAAAAATGTACAATATATGTGAATACCTATGAATATATACTATAAATAAATATGAATCTATCATATATGAAATATATATTTACCACATATATATAAACAGCACAGTAAAAGATTGATTGCTTATATTTAGTCTTTACTATAGGCCAGACACTATGCTAAAATGTGTTACATGAATTCTGTCTGGTAATGCCTTTTGATAGCTCCATTTTGTGGATACTAAAGCATTCTAGAGAAGGTGCCTTGCTCAAGGTCACATTAGCAAGAAGCACCCCTGGGATTCAAACCCTCGTAGTCTGACTAGAAAGCATCTGTGTTTGCTTATTTCCTATGTTACAGTGAAAAGGGTGCCTACATGAAAATAATGAAATAAAGAGCAGGTTAAAATTTTTTCCAAATAATAAAGTTGATTCAATGTCAAAACAATTTAAGGAATGAATTTCTTAAAAGATTTCAAATCCAGACTGGGTGTGAGTAATAACTTTCCCTGACATTCATTATGAAAATTTTTTACCCCCACCCCACTGCTTCTCCACAAAAAATGATGAGAAAAAAGATGCTCAAGTAGAAAGCAATGTTTACCTCCCATCTGCCCCATTTTTCAATAAGCCTTGCAGTATTTCATAGTTTCTATATTTTTAATAAAAATATTGTGGTTATAACTACCTTTCTCAAATGAGGACAGTCATTTAACTGACATTCATTGGATGCTTACCACAAGTCAGGTATCATGGTGGGTTCTGTCCAAGACAAGAGAAAAGATAACGTTTGCCAGCAATGACATCCATCTAATAAACGAGCGACATGTCTCTTGTCTCTGCATGGAGTGCCTCTCACAGACAAAACTCCAGTTGATATTCTGGAGCCTTCAGCCAAATGTTATCAGCTCTCTCTCTGCAAATGCTCCCCTGCCTCCAGTGGTCCTTATTCCTTGGACTTCTTCACTGTCATCACCACAAAAAGAACAGTCATAGCGACTCACTCACCTACCGCAGTCTAATGACCAAGGCTTGGTTTCTGGAACTAAGCTGCCCATTGCTGTGTCTGCCATTATTCACTCTTCGGGAGCAAGTTACTCAACCTGTCTTTGACTCTGTCTCCCGAATTATAAACAGGTACCAACACTCACTGCCATGGGCTAGCACTCGCAACAACGTCTGTCGTCTGTTAAGTGGTCAGAAGACATTAGCCATAGATGTATCAAATCTGTGAGCAACAGACTGTTCCAGAGACTGAATGAGAAGAAGAAATAATCATCCAAGAGAAGAAGACCTTAGAGAACATTTCACAGACGATGGCAGCGGGCTATAAGGGCCCCATGGCTTGCTTGAGGTCAGGCAGGGAAGAGCAGCATGAGGGCACAGATCTCCGCCATAGCACAGTACCCTTAAGACAGGAAAGGCAAGAGAATGCCAAAGTTAGGTGCATGCGACAGGTATTATCTAGACTAGTAAAGGATAAAAGTTTAAGATTAAATTATAAAATTATAAAAGTAACATAAAATTATAAGTAAATTATAAGATTGCAAGTATGACGTGTGACAACTTGTGACGCTTCCATACGCAGGACCAGAAGGTGATTCCGCACTGTGTATACAGGCACACTGGGTGCTTACAGCAGTCACACCCATGTCAAAGCCGCGCAGTGTGACCTCCTAATTTAAAGTGGCCTGGTTAATGGCTCGGTGCTTCAGATCATTTAAATAGAGCTCCACGACAACCACCACAGAATGAATTCAAAACATGCGTCCTGGACTCACCACCCAGCCCCTCCTGCCCCAGACCAGAAGCCCTGGATTGAGGTCACCGAAGCAGCGCAGCAGCTGAGGAAAGCCTGCTAGGCAGGGAGCAGAGCGAGAACTCAACCCTTGGATCATTCCAGACACATCTCTACTACACAACTGCTGCCAGCTCAGCTCACCACCCTCACCGGTGGACTCCCAAACCTCTTCCCCACCGGAACTACATGTCGTGCTGTCCTGCTTCTCCCACCTGCCAACCTTCCCTTCCACTAACCTCCGCAGATTACCCTGCCGTCTCCAGAGAGTTCCACACTTCGCAGCCATTGTCTTTGCCCCTGCTTCCCCTTACTCCTAGACTACAACTGCCGCTCTTCCATCTCTCTGCCTCCACCCGACTGAAAGTGACTGACAACTTCTTTCCAGAAATGCTAACCCTTCTGTAAAGCCATCAGGCAATAAAATGACCTTTTAAAATACCCCCTGTATACCTGGAACCTTCCAGATGTAAGGCTCTCGATCAATTCTACCTCCCTGCCCATGGAAGACTCACCCCTCCGTACAGCCTCTCACAGTGCTGCGATCAGGAGCCCAGCACCAAACGCTCGTTTCTACCACAGCGGTCAGGCTGGCGACAGGATGTGCAGCAAGGGAAGCCGGGAAGGCAGGCCGTGAAGAGCGGGGACGGCAGCACACCAAGTGCCGTACTTTTCTGAGTGTACCTATGTGAGCTCAGCCCTGCAGACAGCCTCCCGGAGTAGACGCTACTACTCTAAGCACATTATAGAGCCGGCAACTGACGCACAGATGGGCTGAATAACGTGCCCCTGGTCATGCCGTGAGGTTCGAGCTGAAACGGAACAGCTAGCTCTGAACATCGTTTCTCTGCAGCAATGTTCCTTCTCACTCACTGTCTGCAAAAGCCACTTCAGCTGCTCTACCCTTCCGTGTACATTGCCTTTCTGAATCAAAAACACACCCCGCTACGTATAATTTCAGTGCCACATTCCAACCTAGCGCTTTCTGAGCCAGAAATTAACTCAGTTCTGGTCAGATCTCCCACCGAAGTAAACAAAATGTAACAAAATCTCAACGTTAAAACATTCTCTCGTACCGAAGGAAAGCATTTTTCAGATACAGAGGGCCTCCCTCAGCTGTACACCTAGCTCATCACTTTCCACCCCTCTATTTCTGCACCCTGAAATACAAACGATATTTGCAAACACTGACGTATAGCAATCACTGCAGATACTACTTCGATAGAATTACAAGTTGAACACACAATTATGAGTTTATGGATACACTGCCATGTGTTTACTTATTTTTTTAACAATCGTAAAAGTACTTGGATCCTGCACTGGAGAAAGAGGAAAACAGAAAACACACACATTTGAATTACAATTAGATTAAATTTAAATGAAAGATCCGACAATTCCCTATATAAACCAAATTTTAAATACCTTAACACCAGGGGCTGGGGACTTAGCTCAGCGGCACAGCGCCTGCCTGGCAAGCTCAAGGTCGTGAGTTCGATTCCCGGTACCGAAAAAATAAATAAATAAATAAATAAATACCTTAATACCAAACAGCCTATTAACAGAAGCAAAAGTTGTGTAAACTGGTGATAAGCCAGACAATTTTCTCAATCTTCCATCGAAGCAGGGAGTGGAGGGTGGATAAAGATTTCAGTCTTTACAAATGGATACGATGTTCTCACAGGGAAAAATAGAAAAAAAAATAACACCATTCAACTTTGGAGTTATGAGAGGCTTACAACAAAATACCGATCAAACTTTGTTCCCAGCAAATTTTATAATAGCACGCCCCAAAATGTTAAAAGCAGACAAAAAAATTTAATGTTCGCAAAACAGATGAGGAGGAAACGAAATGTCTGTGTAGTGTATGCCACCAAGAGATTATTTTTCTCTCTCTTCTGAGACAAGGCTGGTGAGAACAGCAAGAAGACAGGACAGAGATCACAGCGGGAGAAATATGATAGCCCGCCGTCGTCAAAACTTACCCAGCTTGCTGTTTACCCAAACTTTATTTTTCTAACTTTGCCGGTTTAAACTCAGGCCGCGGCTGGGCTTTTGTTGTTGCCGTTTCTGTCCTTTGATCCCAGAGCCCCTGAAAATTAAGCCGCGCTGGACGGGCCCAGCCCTTCTCCTGGGGGTGCGGGAGGTTCCGAGCTTGGCGCCCTGGCTGCTTCTCGGCGAAACTGAATCAGTCACAGCCGGATGGCCAGACGCAGACGACGTGCGGGACGTGCCTGGGTGCCGCCGGCCCCTAAGAGACCGCACGCGCGCGGGCGCAGCTGTCCAGATGTGCTTCATCTGGTCCCTCCGGGAGCGAGCCCGACCGCCCCGGCTGCGAGAAGCCGCCGCTCATTGGCGGCCGCAGCTCCGCACTGGC